TCCTTCCCCGCTGCCTCCGCCTCTCGCCGCCACCACGGGGAGGTGGAGCTCCGGCTCCTTATCAGATTCCCAGCCCAGCCGGGCCGGGACGAGCGGGTATCGGCTGCCGGGCAGAGCCGTCCGCCCATCGCGCCGCGGACCGCCCGGCTCCGGGCGGCGGGCACGGCGCCAAGCCCCCGGCCCGGTGAAGAAGGGGGGGTCCCCCCACGTCCCCCCCCACCCGGGAACCCCTCACCCCCGGAGACCCCTTCGCTCACGTGTGGGACGGGTCTCCCCTTTCGCTCCCCTCCCAGGGCTCTTGTTTATTCATTTTTGTTCATTTATTTTTACGCCCGGCGCTTCACAGCCCCGCTGCACGGGGGAAGGGGGCTCGGCCGGCGGTGCCCCCCGCTGTGCTAAGGGGACGGCCCCTCCGTGGGAAGGAGCCCACCGGGGGGGCTGTGCCCACCCCTCCTCAGATCCCCCCAACTGAGCAGGGCTCCTGGCAGGCTGCAAGCAATGGCTCCTGCAGCCCTGCCCGGGTGAGGCACTGGGCCCTGGAAAAGCAACTGTCCCCTCCCGTCACACCTTGGTGAATCATGCTTTTATTGCAGGGTGTCGGGACTCGGGAGCAGAGAGCACCTGCGAGCTCCCAAAAGCACCTGCATGCTCCTGGCTGCCCTCGCAACGTCTTCACAAGCTGTGCTACCTCAGCTGGGTCCTCACTCGCCTGCTGAGCCCCCGTGGGACCCCAGATGGGTGAGTGCAAGTCCCAGGGGGCCTGGGGACAGCGTGCTCCAGGGGTGCCCCTTGCCTCGATGCCTACACTGGCCTCTGTGTTCCTGCGAGGAGAGCCAGTGCTCCCTGCCAGCGGGCTGGACCTCCAGCCTGGCCCTCCCAAAGGCCTCAGCTTTCTCAGATGGAGATGCTGGGGTGGCTCTCGGCACCCTGCTAGGGCCAGGCACCCCATGGGGCTGCAGGGTCCCTCACCAAGCAGCACCCGCCTTCTCAAGCCCGGTTGCAGTGCAGATTTCTCGCCAGGATGCTGGAAAGTCGCTTTCTGCTTCTCCGCAGCGTGAGGATGGGAGCCTCGCTCTCTCCGCTGAGCTACGCCAACCTGTTGCGCAGCTCTCTTCGCTGCACACATGCTCAGCTCGGCTGCGATGACTGCACCATCTAGAGGCTGCGCCGGCCTGCTCGGAGGAGCCCTGGCTCTCGCTCAGCCCAAATCACCCCACCTCCCCCCCCCCCCCCCCCCCCCCTCCACTCGC